GTCAGTTGCCAACAAATATACCAGACACATCCTTACTTTTGACAGGCTCCTAGGTGACCCAGAAAAGAAAACATGAAGCAAAACTTGATAGCACAGTAAATGAGTAATTCACATTTATGGAGTGCTAATTGTCTATTAAGCACTTAGTTGAATGTTGTGTAACTCAAAATGAGGCAAACAGAAAAGGTTCTTACTTTCTGTAATCAATGCCATGATGCAGTTTGCTTCCTTTGGATAGTTTGAGATAGACAGAATTTCACTATACTTCCCAGGCTTGCCTCAAACTCATAATTTTCTTGACACAGCCTCCATAGTTCTAGGATCACATGTGCATAGCTCTGTACCCAGCAAGAGTTTGGATATTTACACAAGGTTTAGAGGACATGAAACTGCATAAAGTATTATTCTCTATCCCAAGAATATTTGAAATTGATTGAAATTTCTATACAAGGTTTTATCATGATCAATCATTAGATGTTAGGAAAAGAAATAATGCAGGGTGATATGTGATATGGGAAAGAGAAGGAAGCAAAATTCCATATTAAATACTAAACAGCAGACTTGATCTAGGTGAAATGATAGAGAAGAATAGATTAAAGAGAGAAAGGGGGAAAATAGAGACACACATTATCCCGCAGCCCAAAGCCATGGCGTTTGCCTACAGTCTTTGCTGGGGAGGCTGCAGCAGGAGTGTGAATTTGAAACCAAGAGGGTATAATGAGTCTTTCTCTGTCCTGCCAGCCAGCTCCCAAATAATGGCAGAGACTTCTTATTAGTTATGAAAGGTCAGTCTTAGTTAGGCTTGTTTCTAACTAGCTCATATAACCTAAATTAACCCATTTCTATTAGTCTACATGCTGCTATGTGGCTCACAGTTTTTACCTCTCCTCCTGCATGTCCTACTTCCTCAGCTTCTAACAGGTGACTCTCCAAAATTCTTTTTAGACCTCAAAATATTTTCTTAGATGAATAACTTAATCTTTTTGTCTCTCAACATTATACACTTTATAACTCTTTTGTGAGTTTATTTCTGAATTTGATAACAAGAAAAACTATAACTATTTCATCTTCAACTCCATCAGAAACCTTAGAAGGATATAATATTATCCCAGTAAATAGATGAGTGTAGAACAAAAAAATTCTAAAACTGTAGAAATTACAGAAACATCTGGCTTCCCGAACAGTCACCAAGTTTCCTCTGTAACATTGGGCCATCCATCTTCACCTACAGGCCTTAAATATCTGACAGACTTTTCTATAAAGCAGGAATTTTGAAGGACTATTCTACCTTGTCTTGTCAAAGTTCAGCAGTCACTTTCTTTTGTGTCCTGCTTGTCCAGTTTGGACAGCATGCTGTCAGCAGTTGAGGCAAAGGTAGTTTCTTTGCCCATTGGCTTATCTTGTCATATTAAAAGCAAATTCTACATAGAGGTTCTTTGATGTCCATTACCCTATTCTGACGTAGATTCAGGAGCAGACATGTCTCACTGTTGTGAAAAACCTTCTGTTATTAAAACACTCTAAATGTCAGACTCTTTAAGTCTCTGAAGTGTTTGAAGATCACAATCTATTTGAAATATATCTCCATAAGACATTGAAAACATACCTACTATAATTCCAAGTTTCATTGTTATAGATGACTAACTACTAATCTGTATTTCTTTATTATCCTAAAAACCTTTCAAGGATTAGCATTTTATGCTACATTGTTAAATGAGATGCATAGGTACAATAGCTTAAACAAGAGTGGAAACCTATGCAGTATAACAAAAATAACCTTAAATGTGTGTCAATAAACAGAAATTTATACCAGTGTAAAATACTTGAGACTTGTGGTTGTTCAAAAATAGACTCAACAACCCACCCTTTTATCTCATCATTTCTGTATTATAAACCTGGAACACATAATGAGACCAACTTTAAAAGAAAAGACTCTGAGTCTGAGGGAAGAAAGAAGGACCTAATACACCATAGTTTACTACTTGAAGATAGGATAATTTGGTTTTAGTTTCATCCACTGGTGGTGGATGGTGTTATTTACAAAAATATGAAACATTGAAAGGATGCATTTGAAAAGAAGAGTTTTATAGTTAAATTATAGATGCATTGAACCTGAATATTTCTCAAAAGCTCCTGACTTGAAATATAAACTAATCATTTAGAAGTAAAAGAATGGTGCCTGAACAGATGTCTCAGAAGTTAAGAGAACCTGCTGCTCTTCCAGAGACCCTGAGTTCAGTTCTTAGCACCCATGTCAGGCAGTTACAACCACCTTTAACTAGAGCTCCAGGTGGTATGACATCTTCTCCTGGATCCTCCAGAAGCAGCACTCACGTAGCATACACTCAAATAGACTCTCCACATAAGTAAACCAAAACAAATCCATAAAAATATAGAGCTATCAGGTGATAGTGTGAGCCTCTATTGGTATCCACAATGGCCTATACAATAAAATATGAGCGTCTGGAAATGTTTTTCTGTGGGAGAGGACTGTATCATAAAAAAGACAAACATGAATAAAAAGTAAAATAAAGGGTAAGGTAGGAAAATACTAATATATACATAGATTGAAATGATTTTTAAAGAAAAGAAACAGAAACAGCAAAGAGGACTAAAGCAACTAAAAAATAAATCTCATCTTCCAGTTAGCTGGAAAACCCATGCTATTCCTGCAAGGTTCTATCCAGGAAAGAAACAACATGTGAATCACTGAGCTCTCTTCCCTTTTCTCAGTGCTTGTACTTTACAGTTCACCCATTTCTTTCATGGTTTCAAAATGGTGTCATGTTATGCATTCAGTTTCAGAGAAAACAGGTTCCACATTTACATGTAAAGGTTCGGTGAAACACAAGTCATTCATTTTTCTGGACGACAAAAGCCTAGAATAGGGATCTGCTGATCCCTCTCATTGTCTTCAGAGACTGGGGCACATTAATTACCTTGAACTAATTATGTTTCACCACCAGAGTGAGGACCAATCTTCTGACCAAACCAAATAGAATATTAGGAAGGGGTTTAGACATCTAGAAGAACCCAGATTTCATTTTACACTCTGGATGGAACTCCTGTGTTCTGAACAGAGGGGCACTCTGAAATCAATGTCTTAAGATGTTCAATCTTAAGACAATCATAGGGCATGCTGCAGTGCTTAAGAGAAGTGAGAAATGTGTTGAACAGTATTGGCAATCATCAAGGGAAGAGAAGATGAGTCCTTTGCCTACCCTGAGGAAGAAATGTAAATGGAAGGAAGGCAGTGGTGAAAAGTTTTTCAATGAAAGAATTCACGGAACTGTCAAGATCATATGAAAGGACTTTGAGGTAGAAGTTCAAATCCTTTCAGTGAAGGTATAAATAATATAGTAATTTGGGCACTGAGTCAATGATTAGTCCCTACCTTGAAACTTCTTCAATAATGGACTTCATTCTTCCAAATCTAACCTACAGCTCTGCTTTCCACTACATTTTGTTCTAAAGTGCTATCATTCCCTTGTGTCCCATCAGTGCACATGGGCACAACCTGCCTAGGAGTTGAAAAGAACACAAATACCTACCACCATCCTTGGCTGTGCATAATGACACCATCCTCTAACTATAGACTATGTTTTAAGGAATGAAGAGACAGATACCACTAAAGTTACTGCAGAGCACTTGGTAGCAATTTGGGCAGGATTTTGTCTACCAGCAAGGCTTCTCCTAACAAGGAGTAGTAATTTTAGTGTATTATTTTATCTTTATTAGTTTTATTATTATTTTGCCAGAATTTGTGTTTGTACACCACATACTTTTGTGTACCACATACAGTGCCTGCAAAGGTCTGAAGGTGGCATGAGATACCCTGAAATTGGAGTTACCATCTTGTAGGTGCTGGGAACTGAACCTGGGTCCTCTCGAAGAGGATCTTCACCTCTGAATCATCTCTCCAGGCCCAAACCCAGTGCTATTAAACAGAAGATTTCCAAAATTAGTAGGATTGCTTCTGCTGCTCATCCATAGGTGTCCATATCTCTGCTTCTCTGAAATTTCATATTATAGTAACAAGATGACCACCCACCTCCAAGTATTCTCTCCCGAACATCAAGAATCCTTATACTGATAAATAAATGAAAAATTTTCTAGTATTTTTATTCAGCATATTTCACATTGCTAGTGGTCTATGACATGGTTGTGTGATCTTTCTTATTTTTATGTGTGAGACACAGGACAGAAGAAGGTAGCTGAGTGGTGTTAGGACCTATTCCAGGAGAGCTATTGTCAGGCAAAGTATCCTGTGCTTGCTATAGAGTGTGTACTTGTCACTTTGCTTACTACCTTTTATTTACCTGTACTTTTTGCTTCCTTTCCCACTTCGTGGCTTATTATTATTAATTTTTGGAAGTTTTTCATTCTACTTTTCTGTTAATCTTTATTAACCTCTGCTCAATTCACTCAGCAAAGACAGTAAAATTTTGGTTTTCTTGAATAGGATAACATAAACTACCACACATATTAACTTGGAAGGAATTTTATCCTTGTGTGTGCCTAATTATCTTTGCAAGCATTGCCCATGTGAAAGAAAACAGCAAAATTACCAGATGATTCCATAGGGATTTAGTAAAAATATCCCATCTTTATGTTTTATGGGATATTATAGACTTTTTTGTGAAGATGTATTTCCAAGGGACCTCATCAAACTTGGCTTAGAAATTTAGTACGAATTCAACACCCACATGTCAAAAATAAAGTTAGCAATTATCCCACTTAATTTGTTGTTTGAAAAAATAGTAAGTTACCACAATAGGAACTACAGCTGACTTCTCTGTAGTCGGAATTACCCTTTGATGCTGACTTTACAATGTCATGAAATTTTAAAGGACAACTGAGCTAAATCAGGGAGCAACAAGCCTTGGCCAAGTTTAAATTTAGTAACACTGTTAGTCCACTGAGAGTAACCTTGTCCATGGCAGATCCTGGTAGTTGTAGATTACTTGTGACCAACGTGTCCATCTCTCTGCTCTGTTTAGAGATAACCGAGCCCCACTGCCTTAAGACTGGTTGGTGGTTTCTGCTGCCCACCTCAGGAGTCTCAAAGGCCAGCTGACACCCTCAGAAACCTGACAACCTACTTTGCCATATTCTTGGAAGTCTCTCCTCCATATGTATAGAACTTTCTGGATGAGCATAAAGATGTGAAGGTAAGTGAAACTTGAGTATAACTTAATTACATCAAAAGTTAATTCTATGTTATTGGAAAGCAGACAAACTAAAAGCAATTAAATTTAAGACAAATAAGCACGTTTGTGCAACCCCCAGCTAAACTAGGAAGTAAGGGGAGCAGGATTTACAAATGCTGTAAGCCATAAAGGGGCAAGGATGTTAGGGTGCAAAGGAAGAGCAGGATCATCCAACCTCTCTCCTCACACAGCATCTCAAACAGTTGTCCTAAAATCCAATGTGTACAAGAGTACTGGCCCCTTGAAATATTCCATAGGCTTAGACTCCAGGGACTGGGATTCATTTCACCCTTGGTAGAGTTCCTATGCACACACTCTGGGGACTTTCAAAAACTCTGAAACTGGGATTAGAAGTCATTGACGTTTCATTTATAAAGTTGATGTTATCCTTGGGCTTTTATGTAGTTTCCTTTAGTCGTAAGAGTAAGTCAAGAGTGACTTCAGCACAGAAGTGATAGATTAGCATTTCCTTTTTATCTCTCCAATTTGAATTATTAATTCTCATTAATATTCTTTTTTAATTTCACTAAGATGAGCTAATTTGCATCTCCCTTTCACACAGAGAGCACCCTCTTTCGATCACTAGCTGTTACTCTGTCTGGTGTGATTCTGTAATTTATTCAGATATTTAGTGTTATTGGCTCTAGCTATACAATATCTAGGAGGCCAAAAAAAAGAATGGTAAGCGCTTTGTGGTAGTTTGAATGTATTTATCCGCCCCCCCCATAAACTCACAAGGAGTGTCACCTTGTTGGAGGAAGTGTGATCTTGTTGGAGGAGGCTGGATGACACAAACCTTTAATCCAGACCTTGAGGCTAGAGGGCACACCTTTAATCTGGGCAGCACCTTCTGTTGGAAGTGTGTCACTGTGAGGGTGGGCTTTGAGGTCTCTTCTCAAGCTTCACTCAGTGGGACAGACAGTTGATTTCCTGTTGCCTCTGAATAAAGCTGTAGCACTCTCAGCTCCAGCACCATGTCTGCCTGCATGCTGCTATGCTCCTCTTCATGATTATAATAGACTGAACCTCTGAAACTGTAAGAAAGCCACCCTAGATTAAATGTTTTCTTTTTAGAAGACGCCGTGCCAGGTGGTGGTAGCATACAACTTTAACTCAAGCACTCGGGAGGTGGAGGCAGGGAGACCTTTGTGAGTTAGAGGCCAGCCTGGTCTTCAAAGCTACACAGAGAAGTCCTGACTCGAGAAAAAAAAAAAAGAGTTCTGCCCTCATGACGTCATCACAGCAATAGAAAGCACTAAGCCACCTGTCCAGGATTGATTAGGCATTCTTACATACTGAGGGCTCCATCTTTTTTAATTTTGAAAACTCAGACTTTGATTTCATAAGAACAGATCTGTTTAGTACATTGCTCACTACTTTCATTCTTTTGCAGGCTGACCTTATAAATCATTTGATGTTTTTATGACAGGTTGTGTGTGTCTTTGGTGACTGTCACTTTATTGATTTCTGCTCTGACATTTCACTTACCAACTTGTTTTTTTTTATTATTTGTGGTTTTAAGTTTATAAAAGACTTTCTTTTTATATTCCAGCTACAGAGTGGCCCTTAGGGACACACTTAGATTTAAAGTTATGATGAGTCCCTGAAGGATTAACAGCACTGTATTCATAGTGAGGAGTGTAATTTTGTAATCAAGGCCTTTGACTGGATTTCTGTATGATTGCCATTTCCCACTCTCTGTCAGTCTCTATGCTAGTTCCCCCTCCTAGATTTCTGGTCCATAAAATCTGAAAAGGAAAAGGAGCTATCAAGAAGAAGTACATCCTTCTGACATCCTTTGTCTGTAGGCATTAACCATTGGTGTCACACATAGAAAACAGAGTGCATTTATAGCAGAAGGTGAAACAATGATTCATGAGTGATAAATAATTTACAGAACTGTGTTAACTAAAATAACAATTTCACACGCATTTGTGATTGGAGTTGCTCTCAGGATTATTCCATCTGAACATAAAGCTGGTACTACACCTCATGAAAATCCTTATATCTATAAAATATAAGTTTAGGGTTGAATGAGGTTTAAAAATATTACATAGTAGTGTTTTAGTTCTAATTTCTGTCATATTTCAGTTTCGAAAACCCACACCCACCTTGCTATGTTTCTTTCTCACTTCTCCCTCTTTATTCCTCTTTCCTTTGTCCTAGCAGAGGAGCAGGTGGAGTCAGGTCCTCAGGTGAATTCTTACTGCCATAGGCATACTTATCAGAGTTCTTAAATTACAGTCCCTAAAGAAAACTTTCCACAGTCTCAGGCCCCCGTGTGGGGTGGATCCAGAGCTCAGCAAAATAGGCAGTGAAAGGAAATGACAGAAATGCTTTGGGATCATACATCATAAGATCTGGGAGGAGGGAGGCACCCCTGAGCTCCTACAGTTTGACCCCGCCTCCCTCCAGTAAACAGCCACATGGCCCCGAAACTCACCATGTATTCTGCAATAATGTTGTTTGGGTAAGGGGGTAAGGATAGGAGCAGGAAACACCCTTCAGGATGAAGGACAAGGGGTGAAAAAGATATGGGGTATTATCTATGTGGCTGGATCTAAAACAAGAAATGTTTTCACTTGGACAGAATAATCTTTCACCTTCTAGGTCCAGAAGTGAAAACTTCAAGGTTATCTTTACTCAGGCTTGATCTGCTTGGAGCTACAGTGGTGGGAGAGTCGAGGATTACCCAAAAGGCAGCGTGCTTTAGAAGGACAGAGCCCGGAAGGACTGTCAGTGAGACTAAACATGAAGGCACGTGGGGATGTTAATGTTATTATGAGTGTGTATGATAGAGAAATCCAGGAGACATATAAAGATAATAAAACGTACTTACTGGTCTCAACATGTTGATAAGTCATTAAGTAAAGATATGCATAATCCATGTAAGTAAATACAAAGAGTTATTAAAGCATATTTTGCCAGATTTTATTGCCATAATTTTTCAGATGGGAATGCATCTGGAGATATTTGAAAGGAATAAAAATATTATTTAATCAAAATAACATTGATAGGTGCCCTCAACTGCCAGAATTATATCTGATGTTTTATTGTTTTTCCAAGCTTACAAAACCTTTTTCTAATGGGGCTATTATTATTAGCACATATTATTTTTACAGAATAGCTGGTGGCACTCTGCACATGCATGTAATACACTTTGCTCCTGCCCGGCTCTGACAGGCTCCACCCTGCCTTACTTCACATCACTGGAGTCCCCTTCCTCTTCCTAAATGGTTCCCCTTCTGTTTCTACCTTCAAAAAGCCTAGATGTAGTATGTGAGAAACATGCAATATCTGTTCTTCAGAGTGTGTTTATTTTGCTTAACATAATGGTCTCCAGGTCTGCTAAAAGATATATCCTTAATGTAAACCTTAAAATATTGTAAAGGACTAGAAACATATTTAGTTACTTGGAGAAAATGATGCTTTGGAAATGTGAAGGAGGGGCTGAAGAGATTGCTCAGTGAAAAGAGCACTGGCTGCTTTTTCTTAAGGAGATGGGTTTGATTCCCAGCGTATATGGTTATAAGCCACCATGTGGTTGCTGCGAATAGAAATCAGGACCTCTGGATGACAGAGTCAATGCTCTCAACCTCTGACCCATCTCCCCAGCCCCACTCCTAAGATTTTAAAGCAGGAAGCAAGCATTCTGCCTTTGCAGGCTCTCTGGCAACAATATCATCACAAGTCCCTTCTGAAAGAACTACTAAAAGAAACACTCCAAGCAACCAAGTAATGGCTGTAAATACAAATACAAAAGGATCGATTGTGAACACCAGATGTATTCAACTAGAGAACAAAATACAGACTGCAAATATTGGAATTACAAACTCAGACATAAATTATAATGCAATTAAAGTACAGGAATGAAATGACTCACCAAAGTTTAGAATGCAATGCAAAGTATTTTTGAATATATAGCACTATATATACCTGGTGTCTTTCTTCTCAATGCCTAGAAATTAGCAGATGTCACTTAAATTTAACAAATAAAATTATACAAGGATAAGAAGTACAGGCATGTTGAAGAGTATATGTAATGAGCACTCTTTCCCACCAACCTGGTCCCACAGCCACATCAGCCCCAAAAGAATACATGGACACTATATTACTTACAATACTGCTGGCCGTTAACTAGGGCATCTTATTGGCTAGCTCTGTCTTTATTATTAACTCATAATTGCTAAACTATGCATTTCTACATGGTCTTATCTTACCGAAGAACTCCTGACTCACATCTTCTCATCCCAGGATCACATGGTCACTGCTTTTCCTATGTCTCCCAGAATCCTCCTCATCTCCTAGACCTGCCTATCTTACTGTCCTACTGGCCAACAGTGTTTTATTCATCAACTAATAAGATAAACACATACATAATGACAACTCCATCAAGTATATGAAGATACCAAGTAGTTTCGGGGCTGAAAATGTTGGTTTGTGCAAATAACACCAGTACTTAGGAGGTGAAAACAAGAGAAGCTACAAGTGGGGGTTCAAGGCCATCCTACCCTTCCTGATATCCTGTCTCTAAAGAAATAAAAGAGAGATAGAAAGAAAGCAAGAAGAAAGTAATGATTATTATTTACTAATACCTAGAAATAATGGGAGAAAGCAAAAAATATACACTACTTTCCCCAACTACTCATAAGGGAATAACAAACACACTCACAAGAGATAGAGGTTAATATATGAAGTTAAAAGCATCACACATTGCTAAATGATTTTTTCGGAACAGGGTTTCTTTGTGCAGCCCTAGCTGTCCTGAAACTCACTCTGTAGACTAAGCTGTCCTCAAACTCATGCATCCACCTTCCTCTGCCTCTCAAGTGCTGGGATTAAAGGTGTGCACCACCATGCCCATCATGCTAAGTGATTCTCAAAGCTGCACATATTCCACAAGAAAAACAGACATTTCAAAATCTTAAAGAAGTTACATTTGTCTTCTATATCAGTAAATG